CTTCAGGAAAATGCATTGCAGCTATCCAACCTGAACTAATTCAGGAACATAGTTTTGAATTTTGGCAAGTAATTTTTCAACAAAAAGGGGAAATTGATGTGCAATCCTTGGAAAATTGGTATATTATGTGTTTGCATTATATTGTCTGTATCCTCTAGATCCTACATTTCTGATAGATTTACACGTTTGTTCAGCATGGTGCACCAAACAGTTAGCCGATAATAAATAGTGACTATTAAATACTGCATCAAGAGCCCTCCTTTCCTGAGGTTATCTGAAACAGTGAGAACTCCAGTCATCTACCATAGCTTTTTTTTAGTGGCCAGGCACTGCGAACAGCTGCCACCAAACCTATCCAGTTCCTACAGACTGTGCTGCTGAGGGCCTGACACCTCTGATGACTGTTCAAACACATCCTGGCACTGTTGTCCGCCATGCTGATGTAGGATGGAAGTGCCCAGCACGTCCTGGCAGACCAGCCGTTGGCATCTTAAGCTATCTAAGTTGTAAAGAACTAGGTTTCTCCCCCGTTGCTGGATCGGAAGTTTTGGTTGCTGGCCCAGTACCCAGGCCCAGGTTGCCGGGACGTTGCTTGATCAGGTCTTCTGGTGTGCTAGGCCGGTGTCAAGGCTTTCGTGAGGGCTAACGGCGGGTCTGCTGGGCTCCAGCCAAACCATACGCCTCAGTGAGGGGACTGACTCAGGGCGTCCCATTTTCCAGGGCTACACTGAAGCCATTCTCCTGTGAGGCTTTTAGCCGTATTATGACTGATGGTCCAGCAGAAGCTTTAAGGGAGAGGACAAAAAACAAACAGGAGCAGCTCTGAGGCAGCTCAGAGGGATGACATGTTCCTTGAGGCAGCCTGGAGGCAGCAGCCAGCACAGACATAGCAGTGGGGCAGCGCGGAGACACGGAGAGGGCAAAAAAGGCTGTGGGCAGCCCAGAGGGAGACGGCAGGAGGCACCTTGAAGCTGAGAGATTTTAACGTAGCATGTGAGGGAGAGTAAGAAAATGTGTGAAGACGGCTGGGGGGTGACGAACAGAGCTGGCGCAGAAACACCACGCAGCCTGAAGATGGCGCCGAGGCAGCATGGAGGTCCCTCACAGCCGAGAGGTGTGGCGGGGGCAGCCTGGAGGCCCCTCGCAGCCCGGCGATGGCACCGAGGCAGCAGGGAGGCAGAGTTTTGATAGCACTGAAGGCTGAAGAGAGGCCAGAGAAGGCTCTAAGGCGGTTTGTAGACCTCGGTCAGCCCCACGGCGGCACTAAGACTTGCACCTCGGGCACCTGCAGTTAGAGCCTCCTGCCCTGCAGATGGACGGGCAGAGCTCTTTGAGCCCCTCGCTCTCTAGAGACTTCGGAAGGGACCTGCCCTGTTTTTGTGTCTGCTAAACACACAACAAATAGTACGTTGGGGAGTTAACACGGGGAGAAGGGAGGTGGTTAGTAGTCAGATGCAGTGTCCTGTTCAGAGCAGCCAGAGGGAATGTGGAGCTGTTGTTAAGCTGTTTGAGGATGGGGTCTTGCCTCACAGACATTCATTTACTACTTGCTGGCTTTGCCAGCTTGTTCTGTGTTTCCATCTGTACACTTCAGCTCTTCTTTGCAGTAACAAACTCGATTCAGTGCTGCCTTTGAGGAGCTACAGCAAGGTACTGATACGTCCTGGAGCTCACAGTGTATGCCTGTGTGGACCTACATGGCCACACACCTACATGCATGGTGTGTGGTAATGGCCAGGCTCTGAGGAGGCTGGAGAGAAGAATCAGCTGTGGTCTGGGAGCAGCATTAATTGTGTTAGAGCACAATTGTGTCTGAAATGATAAGCCTACTTGAGAGGCAGTCTAAAACCTATTATTCTGAATATCAGTAATTGGCAATTCTAGCTTCACATTTCTATATTGTCAGGATCTTTCCAGTATAAAGGTGTCTGAGCAGATACCAGCTGAACACCTCCCATGAGGCCATTGCCTCTTCACCAGTGGAAAAGAATAGTGAAAATGGAGATCTTTGACTTTTAGTGATCGCTGGTGGTGTGTTGTTAAGTGATAAGTTGCATCTGCTGTTCTGTGTTGGGACATGGCACAGAGGGGTGGATGAGATCAGAGGACATTGTGCGTGCTGTGTACACAGACAAGGTGGGAAGCTATGTAAAAATAGCAACAGCTGTATCTCCTGACCAGCTTCCACCAGCTTACCATGTTTATCTATTAAGAATGAAGTGCTATAGGGTAGCCTTAACATTGGCTGTGGAGTCAGCTGGTGATTCTGATGTTACAGGGCTGTTACAGAGATAGCTAATGGGCCTGAGTAAGAGGGCATGCTCCAGCCACCTATTTGTGTTAAACAAATAAGTTTTAATTTTAACTGTACATCTGCTGGACAGTGCACAAGCCCCAACCTGCTCCTTAGTAGCAGCAAGCTGCTGGTCGACATTCAGAATCCAATGATGAGAGGGATTTTTCTCAGTGTCTGATGGGGCGCAGCTTGAAGCAGGGGGCAAGGTGCTTTGCCTGCTCTTTGCGACCTGTATACTCTCTAGCACATCTTGGCCACCTGGCTGATTCATTGCATCCCAAAGCGGTTGAAATGTGAGGGAACTCTAGCAATTGTTTAAAATCAGATGTTCAAAACTACATAAATCAAGCTGCTAAATTTACAATGTAAATCAAACATCGATTTGACACACGCTTCAGCCATGCTGTAGGTAGCATCCGTAGTCACTACTGGGTTCTCATTTCTTCTTGACCCTGATCATCACCCTATGGAAAGATTAATGTTTCGTTTTACTTCCGTACCAACCAAAATGTTAAGCCTGTGGGAATGTGATCATTAAAACTAGCTGGAAGAGCAATTGATTTTTTTGGGTGAAATACAAAAGCAACTTGTAGTACAGTTTTGGGATGGGATCTGTAGAGCTTCTCTGGAATTCTGATAGCGTAGCTAGCATTGGAGTTTTCGAGCCAAAAATGGCTTTGGGTCTTTTTTTTTTTTTTTCCTCCAAGTAAGCTTGGGAAACAAAGAAATATCAATGTTTGACTTCAGAATGAAAAAAAAAAAGAAAAGAAAAATTGATTCTTGAGAATTTCTCTCTGTGAGCATGTGGGGACTGGTCCTTCCCCTTCCCCACTTTTTCATTTAATTATGGACAAAATCCTGTATTCAGTGAAGTCAAAATATAACTAGGACCTTGTGTTTAGATGACTTACGGACACACAGCTACAATTACCTTGACACATGGGTGAATAACCTTTCTGATTTGATCACACCAAGTGCTTCATTGGTGGTTTCTTTTACTTGATTAAGAGAAGTTGTACAAAATGTCATGAGCTTAGGAGACATGAACAAAACAGGGAGACAATACAGGGAGTTCTGAAAGGAGGAAGACATGATGACTGTAACATGACAGAAGCCTGTGGGGAGTGGTAAAATGAGAGGACTGCCACGGGAAGCCTAAGAGGTTAATGACATGCAGCTATGGGTGGATGGAGCTTGCATGGACCCAGATCTCGGATCTGATCCAATTGCAGCCCAGTTCTAAAGGAAAAGGCTATAAATCAGCCTAAGGATTCTGATGAACTGTGCTTTGTGCTCGTGGTTTGTGATGTAACCAGCAGTTCCTGATGGAATTACCACCACCCTGCTCACGCTCACCTGCTATTTGCTCTGTATTGAGTTAACAATAGTAAATAAACTGTGTATTAGATTTCTAGCTGACCTGTTCATGCCAAATGAATTCGTCTTGCCCACAGGCTGTCCTAATTTAAAACATATGTATCCATTTAAATCTTGTTGCTTCCATACATTAGGCTACTGTTTAGATTTTTGCCTCATCAATATTCTTCACCGTTTGGAACAGAGGTGTAGTTTGCTGTGGGTTTGGATTTTTTTTTTTGTGTGTGTGTGTGAAAGGTGGTGGAGGAGTAGAAGTGAGGTGGACTATGGTGGCATTGTACAGCACTTACACCTATCACCTGAAACCACAGAATAGAAACCAAGAAGAAACTTTGTTTCTTGATTCTTCATTAGAATCAAAGGAAGTTTACTTTAATTGCAGGAAAGATGGGGTCCTTGTTTAGTGAAAATATAACTGAAGTCAGGAGTGCTATTGTATGACAGTATATTTCCCACACAGCAATGTAAGTCTCATAGAACACAGATAGAAGGTTTCAGTTTTTCCCAGACTTCTAAGGGGTGAAAGAATTTTGTATGTAAAATAGAGTTTCTCCTGAGAAGAAATTTTAAAAAAATCAAAGCCTAATGTTAGACTCCAAAGAACATACTTAGGCCTCTAAATAAGTAGCCTGGGCTTTTCACAAGTGCTGAGCTCTGCCAACCCCCACTGCTCTTAGGATACAGCTTCTAAGGCTGAACGTCGTTTGACTGCATGTTCTTGCAAAGAAACACTAAGAATATGCAGTAGGTCGAAGTGGCTCCTTATCTTTGTGCGGAGATAAGGACTGCTGTTCCTCCTAGGAAACAGTGTCTTAGAAGCGGAAGGCTGCACTTCTTATCATTCAAGTATGTGCCATAAAGGGGTAAAAATAGGGACGCTGAGGATAAGAAAGCTGAAACCAAGGCACCTGCTACCCAGAGAAGGAAACTTGGGAATGAAATAAGACTGAGAGTCTCTTCTGTTTTGAATACTGCAAATCTTCACTTACAGGAGTAAATAATTTGCCTGTAAAAGCCTCTGAGATTACTGATATGAGAAAAAGCTTGCAGGATTTAGACTCCTGACTGTACCATGCAGGCCAAATTCCATTTACTGAGTTTTACAGAAGTTGAAAATGTCAGAGTTGGCTGAGAGAATTAGATTTCAATACCTATTAAAGATTTATAGGACATCCTAAATCCCTGTTGAAAATCCTTTAGTTTGTGACCTAAACAGAATTGATTAAGCAGAAAAGTTGAAATAAGGTATTCAAATTGTATCACTGTTGCCAAATAATGAGTAGTTCATTCAACCTCACAATATTTTAATCCAGTATTCACTTTGCTGTGATATATAATGCAGGCTATTTACAATGATTGACATTCTTTAAATGCCAGTTTTCCTTTAAAACAAGCAGCAACAACAACAACAACCAGCGCCATACCCTGCTCCAAACCTTGTTTGCAAGGATTTTCATTTGCATCACTAATGTACAGATTTACACAGAGCAGAAAAAGGGGGTATTCTTATTCTTAGAGATTCTGCCTTGTATACTACCTGCAGCCACATTCTGCCACTTTCATCCCTTCGTAGTTATATATCAAAGTGGGCACACCAGCATCATCCTTATAAAGAATGGAGATTGAATCCAATTTGGTTGGAACGCAACAGGCCTTGGAAGCTTTCTTCGGGTTTTGGAGATGCACCAGAGTTTGGACAATAGCATGTTTTGTTGGGGTAACATTATCTGTCAGAGGGAAGAAGCAACCTCCTTTACACTCAAAAGCCTCATAATCTTTCGGTGCAATGATCCAGGAATCCCAGCCAATCTCTTCAAAGTTCACATGGAGGGAAGTTCTCCGGCAGTGGTTGGCTCCAATGCTTCTCTTGCTTCTGGAAGAATGCTGATGGTGCCCAGTGATGGCCTTTTCCTCTCCCCGTTCTTCCTCTTCAGACGAAGTGTTCTTTCCTAATTTCTTTAGTACACTTTCTTGTTCATGAACAATCATCTCCCGGAGCTCCACTTTGGTCTCTTTTGTCCCATTGCTGCGGTCATTGGAGAACACTATTAACAGGGGCAGATTTTTAGTGTCAGGGGTAACACTGATATCCAGCTTCCCACAAGTGAAACCACCCAGAGCCTTACTCTCTATAACAACCTCTAGCTTGTTTTTAGTCTTCAGTTTGTCTGCCCTGACCCATCTTTTCACAGCGCTGGACACTTCGAACATCTCCCAGCCACACTCCTGGATATTGTGGGAGACAAGGAAAGATTTGGTACTTTCTGGGTTTTCCCAGTGGTCACCGTCTAGAACATCATAAATGACCATATTGCCTTCCAGTGTAGGGAGAGACCCAACTTCCCTGTGACAGGAGATATAAATTCTCAGTTCAGCTCTGGTGATTTCCTCATATCGTGGAATAGAGATGTTGAAGAGCAAGATGTGTTTCTGAAATGGATTTTCTTCTGGTGAAGCTAAAGAAACAACATCTGCAATAGGAAATTAAAACACGTGGTTACAGTGCTTCTGACTGTCCAAGTAACTTGCTTTTAAAAGACTCAGGATGTATTTTGGGGGTAAAATAAGAGCATGGCTACCCAGCATTAAAAAAAAAACCCCAAAACAACACCGTCTTCTGGCCAAGTTTCAAGGGCAGGGAGTGAAAAGTGGAAATGGAGGTCCCTGGTGTTGGTAGTATTTTCACCAAGATTGTGTGGTCAGGTAAGTATGTGGAGGGGAGCATAAAGATTCTGCCTAGAACAAGCTGTGGATGATGCTGGTCAGTATTAAGTACATAAATAAGGCATCTGGGGGGTGTTCAGATTTAGCAATTTCTAAAGAGATTTTTACACAAAGAATTCCTAAAAAACCTATGAATTTCCTACTCTTATCATCATGCAATGGGATGAACTGCTCTCCCAATACAGAGAAGTATACTACATATGTAAGTGTCTCTAAGAACTAGCTGTGCTGAGGCTTTTGTTGTTGTCTTCAGATAACTTTGAAAGCAGCTTGGATTACTGGGAGTTTGGGGAAATAGAAAAGTTTTTGAAAATCCTGAAATGAAGCTTCAGGGTCTGTCTAACTAGGGACTTGGTGATAAACAGCCTTTCGTGCTCAGGTCCCAGTCCGTTCCAGGCTGGACTCACTGAGCTTGCGTGGGTTTTGTTTGGGGTTTTTTTTAGTTGGTTTTTTTTCTCCCTGCAAAGGTATGTGCAGTACCAACAACTCTGCCTTGGGAGGGGCAGAGTTTGGCTGGAAGATCAGATTGGTAGTGTTTAAAAGTCATCACTGACTGATATCTATTTGATGCTCAATGTAAGATAATTACTCCATCATGATTGGGTTTTAGGGCAATTTTAATTGGCTAATGTTTACATTTCACAGTGTTTACCCACTAAAGCGGTCGTAGAGGAGAGTGAGATATAGAAACTATAATCTAGCTCATACTGTTAAGGTTTCTTTCCATTTCAGGACTACGGGCACTAATTTGGGAATTTGGAGTTCTCCATAGTGCTGTAACCTGTGTATGTATATTTTTCATATAGACAGAAGCTTTGATTCTCCCTGTCTCATTTTTATCACAAGGATTGCATTTACTTCTAACTTTTTTACTGCTGCTTTTGATGGAGCTTTTAAAAGTCTATGTAATGTTACACAGACAGGGATCTTGAATTTTTTTAGTTGAGACAAGCTTGACTACCCATTTCCATATAAATCTTTCCATCTAAACCAGAATTTTGGGGGAGCACTGCTGTTCGTTGCTTGGATCCAGAGACACATTTCTCAGTTGGCTGCTGTGGTTTTTAAATATGAGAAGAGCCCACCTGAAAGAAGAGCTCTCTAGCCTGTATGTCTCAGTTATAGATGATCAAAAGCTTGCATTCTAACATTGAAACTCAGTTCCAAATCTCTAGCTTTGAGAAACATGGTTCATGTAAACCCTGTTATTCAGTGCATCATCTCAGTTGATGCGTTTGAGAAGAGAATATTGTACAGTGAAAATATCAAAGAAGAAAACTAAAGGTAATTGTACTTTTTTAAAGATTGAAAGAAACTACAGTGCAAGACTCCAATCCAAAATTTTAATCTTTTTTGTTTCTAAAGAATCTGTGGAAATTAGGCACTCATTCCCTTCTTAATTTCAAAAGAATCTGAGTACCTACTGTCCATGTACTTCTTCAAAAATTGTAGTCCACATATTTAGGACTTCTCCTACCTTCAGTACTGAAGCTCCTTACAATATTGGATGCAGGGATGGAGGACTTGTCTGCAGCGTATCTGTTGTATAAATCAATCATGAACTGCGGTGGTTCTTCTTTGGTCTTCATTTGTGAGGGGACTCTTGACAAGTTCAAACTCCTTAGTAAATCCGTCTTCATATTCTCCAGGAAAGATTTAAAGTCAAAATGAGTCTCATCTTCCACTTCCCCAGGATCATGAAAGTGTGCATCAGACTTTCCCATAGCTGATAACTTGTCCCAGTCTTCCAAAGGCTTGCCTCTTGTCAAACAGGCAATGATGTTGAAAACAGACAGTGCAGCTAATATTCCAAAATAATGCATTTCTTCTATATGTACTTTCTGATGGAGAGACAGGAGGACAAGAGTATTTTAGCTGATTAAAAATCTTGTTTCATTACAGACAGAGGAAAGGAGATGGAAGGCAAACAACTGGAATGCCCTTTGCAAATCACTTTCTTGTGTTCTTTTTGCAGTCTGCTTCAAACCCCAGCCTCTTGTCAGTTGTCAAGCAGATTGGTTGTACACTTGCCCTTATCAGAGTCATTGATGCCATGCTTCAGCTTCTGTTATCTAGCAAAGCTCTTAGTTAATGAAGATTCTATAAACATCTGACAAACACATGTGGCTGGTGGGAAGGACATTGTATATTGTAAAGAATCCACATTTCACTTTAAGGTCATCATTGCTTAATTACACTCTTTTATCATTTCCTTGCCAACACAGAGAGAAGCTTTCTTAGGGACGTAGAAGATTACACTGTTTTCATCAAGACTAGAAAAAAATAGAGATCTAGAACAAAATTACTCTATTAGCTATTAGTAAATAACATCTCACAAATCTTTATTACAGTCCCTTCACATACCATCAGAAAATCCCCAATCACTTGATGGAGACCTGTGATTCTGCAAGACATGATCTCACGATAATACAAACAACCTTAAAACTTCTCTCCGTTTATCAGCCAAGAGCAATTGTTTGTACACAGTGACATATCTGTTTTCTGTCAAGTTCGCTTTGTGTTGTTTGCAGGCTTGTCCATTTTCAGTTTGATTCCTTTGGTGTATGGGAATTTAGTCTTGTTTTTATAGTATCTTATGTAATATATTTCTTAGATTCTTGATGCTCAGTCCAGTCCAAGAACAACCAGTCATTATTTCAGTGACCTCAAAATGAAGACAGAACTAGACCTTCTAAGGCCACAGGGAAAGTAAAAGGTGTCCGTGAAGATACAGAAGATTATCTATGAAGATACTGTTATCTATGAGGAGAATGGGCCAAGGCAAAAATACAAGACTGATGATAGATTTTCTCATGATACAGAAGAAAAAAACTAGTTTATTTATAGACAAAAATATCACTTGCTATTTATCTTAATGACTGTGTTATGATTTAATCTAATGATACATAGGTGTTTTATCTGTACTATTAATGTATCATTTTTTCTAAGCACAACTCAATCCGTACTGTACATGTGCCATAAAGTTGGAATAGTATTATGAGCCTTTGCATTAAAAAAAAATCTCACTGCAAAGATGCAGACAAAATTTTGTCCTTTCTGGCCATTATTCTCCAGTTTTTTCGCAGTGCATACACAGTGTTTAAAGTGAGCCCAGACTTCTCAAATACCCACTTATGTGTCTGTTCAAGTGACAGCTGGGATCCAAGATTCCGGTTAATTATGTTCCTATGGTGTAAAGTCAGAAAGGATTATTTGGCATCGATCCTGGTCTCCTGCATAGCAAGACTGTATGTTTTACTCAAGGCCTTTGTGTTTCCTACCTGTGTGCAGAGCCCAATTACTTGTGTTTGGCTAAAACATATTTTTTAAGGGTCTCCAGAACTTATCTGAAGATGTCAAAGAATCAAAGATTTCTTCAGTTTTTGTAACACTTACTCTAAAAGATTGTCACTTACACTTAAATAACCATGGTGCTTCATTTATTATTTCATTGTGCCTGGCTTCACCTTCTAGACAGGAGTTCTTGTAACTTTCTGGCTGGCTTAAGGAGCCCCATAGCGCTGGCATTTTCTCTCTGTCAAAGTACTTGTACAGCGTAATCAAGTTAGTTACTTCTCAGTTTGCTTTCTGATAAAATAAACAGATTGTGCTTTTGAGTCACGTGTTATAAGACATTTTCTCTAACTTTTTGTTTCTTTTTCATGTCTCTTTCAGAATTTGAATGTCTTTTTGAAAAGGTGAACACTGGGGCTATACATAGTCTTCTAGTGGCACATGCAGAAATAAAATCTCCTTTCCTTATGTGGTTCACTACTCCAGTGTGTATCTTTTCAAAGCTTTCATTAGCTCTCTTTACATAGCATCACCCTGGATGCTCATACTGTGCCATAAATCCATGATATCCACAAAAATTGTTTTAAGAGTTATGGCTTTCAAGGGTGCCAAAGTTTTACTCAGAAGGAGCAGCCTCCATTCCTTGTGCCTAGGTACCAAGTTCTGCATCTCTACCATAAAATGAATTTTGATTACATAAAGTGCAGCTAGATCAAGTGATCTATATAAATACCTCTCTCCTAAACACTGTCTTCTGCAAATGCTGTGGGGGTTGTTATATACAGACTCCCAGTTCACATATAAAGATGTCAAATAGTGTCAGGCCAAGTGTCAGCTTTGCAGAAACTTTACAATGAACAGTTTCATTCAGTGGCAATTCCTTTTGAAAGCTGCTCTTGGAGGTTTGGCAGTGAGACAGTTGTTAATTCATTGATACACAAATATATTAATGATGTCCAGTGGTTTCTTTTAATTATGTAGCCTTGTGCAAGTGAATTGAAATACTCCACAAAAACCTAGGTACATTCTAGCTGTTGCTGTTACCTCTGGCAATTAAACTGTGGCCTCAAAGAATTAAATTGGATTTGTTTTAGAAAAAAATGTCCTTAACACTTTGCTGGCTAATGTCAGCTGTTTTCCTGTTTTATCTGTCTTTAATCATCCCATATTAATATAGCCTCAATTCTTTTAGGATTAGTTAGTGCAATTACCTTGACCTTCTATTTTAAGTGTTTGCCAATAGTAACTTTCTCTAGAAACTTAAACATTAAGTGGAATGGTTTATAGGATGTTCATAGAAATCAAAAGGTCTGTTGGAACCAAGAGAGTAAGGGTATCGGTGTCTTCCAACAGCAGCTGACTGCATTTGTGCCATTTCAAATACAAAGTTTCCTTTCCTAGAGGAAGATTAGACATCCAAATACCAAAGACCCAGAGAGTAATAGCTTGAACCACTAAACAAATAGTGGTTTAAGATCCTGTTCGCATTAGAGAATTGACTGGTACAGCTAAACTCCAAATGAAATAAACTTTACTAATAAGAGAATTGTATTGCTTGTGTAGTAACGATATGCCTTGAGAGCTATGCCACTGGCAAGTATAATTTTGTTTTGCCCAACCTAAATAACATAGTTTTGCCAACAAACCTTTAAATGCAGACTAAACCTTTCAGGGTTTTACAGGTATCCTAATGAGTATAGGAGTAGCATTTTCCCATATGTCCTATAGACCTTATAACAGATCATAGGATGGTATCTCTTTCCTAATTGCTTGCATCAGCACATCTTGGAAAGAAAGTTTGTACCCAAGGACTAATTCAAGATATAGAAAATATTCCTTAAGGAAAACAAAATGCGATAGATGAGAACATAAGCACACTAGGCTAATATGTCATGCTGTTCAGAGCTGGTGCTAAATGGGAGCAATACTAGACCTACAGGAAAGAGTAGATTTTCACAGAGAAGAGAAATGACAATGACTTAAGATACTTCGAAAAATTTTATGCTTATGGCTGTTCCGTAGAAATAAATGATGAATTTCTGAGAACTTTTTAGTTTTTCTTTTTGCATTAGCATTACTTTGTCAACTGTAGTTGAATTTCTCATACTTTATAAAAACACAAGACCCTACATTTTTAAGGGAGATCTTTAACAGCAACAGTATACAAAGGTTTGTCCCAGTAGTTCCAGTGTAAATCACTGTAGTACTTCGGGAGAAGAAGAAATGCCTAGTTGGATCCATGACCTTTTGGCAGTCATAACTGGCAGTCACTACAAGGTGCCTTAGAAATATCTACTCCTTATTGAGAGCTGTTTAGGAGGAACTAGCAAGAACTGCTGTGAGACTAACCTTGCAGAGACTCCCATAGACGCTGAATCTTGCTTTTGTGTAGGTTAGCAGGAAGTACCATATTTCCACACGTCTGTTGTCTGGGAATCTGCACCACATCAGTATGGAATATTGGTGGCAGAAGTTACCTAGCACCTTAGCAGAATAGGAGCCTTCCAGTTAGTCATTCATCAGAAGCTAGTGTGTGTAGCATCCTTTCCCTAAACAATACAACTCTTAATAGGATAAGATAGTGCAGAAGGTTAGACTGTCTCTTGAGAAGGAAACACTCCGTATCTTGCACTCTGTGCTACCTCACAGACTTCAGAAGTTTGTTCCACTCCTGGTCTGCCTATGCTATTGTACAGCAGGTGGGTGAAAATGGAATATGTGGCAAGTGTGCCCTGGCACGCAGGGACACTGAGAAAGAGGATTGACAGGCACAATGATGGAACATCAGCTCTTGAAGGAGTGCTGCAGTTACAAGGGCTACCGTAAATGTATCAACAGAGGATTGTACAGGAGTTAGAGGGAAACAGAGACTTTATAAAGAGTTCTAACGGAACCACTGCCAAATACTGTGTCCTATTTTGATGTTCATTGTTGGAAAAGAAAGTTAATGAAAGTTCTGGAAAGAGTTCAGAAAAGAGCTGTGAGAAATTGTTTTGAGGCTTAGAATAAGAAATCAAAGTACCTATTTAAATCTTAGCCAAAATGTAATTTGACCCTGCTCTATACACTAAAAATACACAGTGGAAGTATTTTGGATAATAGATAAAAGGGATCTAATAAAATAGGTTACAGTAAGATCCAGTGAATTGAAACTAAAGCTCAGCAAATTCAGACTAGGATTAAGCCACTGCATATGAACAAAGAGCACTAACTTTTGGAACAACTACTTGTAGTCCAGTAGAGATATTCTGTCACATGAAATCTTTAAAGCCAAAATTATGCATGTTTTTCAAAGACATTCCCAAGCTCAAAACAGAAGTTCCATAATGCATGGTGCAGAAACTACTGAGCAAGATTCTTTGATCTGTGCTATGCAGGAGGTCGGTCTAGATGATCTTAGTATTCCCTTCTGTCTTTAATCTATTGAGGTGCATTATGACAAGCTTAACATGTATTTACATGTTTCCATCTAATTAACAGAATGTAACAGAGTGCATTTATAGAAAGACAATTCAACTATTTTTAGATACTACTGTACCTTTAATTTATTAGCTTTTGTTAAAAGCATGTAACAATCTAGAGGATATAAAGTATAATTTACAAAAATATAAATCTTGGTTATTTTATTTTTAGTATTTCAACATATTACTATATAGTATGTGTTACTTAGAGAATACGTTTAACAACCTGAAATTATCCAGCAAACCAAAAGTGTGGGATATTACATATGTCTTTTGTAGAACAAATTATATATTAGGGAAGGGTAACCAAAAATGGCTATATTAACATACTGTTTATATGAAAGCTTATGCGGTGCACTATACTTGCATCCTGAAGAAAATATACATTTTAAGCCCTTTATTACAGCATTTTTCAGTATAAATATGCAGATTAAGAGTATGAGTGTTTTAGGCAAAAAGTTTTGATTTGTGTACCAAAGTGATACTCTAAAATAAGCCTGCCTTTGCAAGTTCACTTCCCATCCTCTTGGTTAACTGAAGAGATAAAATAGTCAGAAAAATAGCATATAAAAACATATTTTAGTCCTTTGATTATGGAAAACTTTACACTTACTTAAATTTCTCTCTAAACACCAGGTGTCTTGGCTAGGTGGGTTAGGAAGATATTTGTAAAAGTATTGAATTCCTGGAAGATGAATATGAAAGACAAATGGTGACAGTAAGACGTATCCTTCCAGGTGAGCATGTGTATCGTTTTAGTGTCCCCACATGCTTTCTGTAGAGGAATTGTAGGCTTGCAATTCGTTCATCAACACAAGTGGATTCATTTTCCATTTACAACTTTCCCAGTGTAGTCGGGCAGGATGCGCAGGTCTAATTAAAGATGTGTTTGTATGAACTTATCGGCAGGCGCAAGTTTCAACCGACATATTGGGATATACCTTTAAAACAACGTTTTTGTTCTCATCTAAGAACAGGACACTGAGTGAGCTCATTTTGTCAGGAATGCAGCAGGGTTCTGGGATGCCGGGAATGATTCCTACTGCTTTTACGATGCTCTGGATTGTAGCATGATTTGATGGCCGGACAATCTGGAACAGAGAAGGAAACAGTTATCGCTTCATTTATGAGCAGTCACTTTTCCAGATGGACTTGGAAAATGACAACACTTGTGGTTTTTTGTTTCTCAAAGAAGTGAATATATGTGATTGAATCACAGGACCATGCAGCACGGTCAGTCCCTCACACTTCCAGCTTTCCCGCGCAAGGTGTACCCAGCAGATATTTTGTGTTCCTTATGCTGCCTTCGTAAATACCAGAGGAGGGCACTGGTGGCACAGCCAGCAGTCAGTAGCCTGAAGAAAGAATGTCCCTGACTGCACCTACTAGATGCTGGAGGCAGGCATGCAGGAGAAAAGGACTAAGGTGGGGCACACTTCCCAGTTGTAAGATGTTATCTTTTGTTTTCTTAACCTCTTGTCTGGCTTGGAAAATTGGCCACTGTAGGTATTTCCAAAATAACTGTCCCTATGTTCCAGTAGTATTTCTCCTCATGTACGCTAACTTGGAATGAGTTACTTTTTCCTGGAGTAATTACTCTCTTTTAGAAGAGCAGAGTGCTCCAGAAATAGTGTCCGCAGGGGGGAGTTACTCTAGAATAGTCAAACAACCTGACAGAGCCTTTCTGATCATAACCCCATGACAAACAAGTACTTCATAGCCTTTGTCTGATTCCCTCTGCCTTCCTCACCAGGCTTTTTTTTTTCCCCTGAGCTAGCCTCAAAGTGGGAGAAGAAAACAAAAGGCTGGGAGGGCAGGAAAAGTATGAAGTGAGTTTTCACAGCAGCTTTACATCTATATACTGTTCAGGGTACTGAGCCACAATTTTATTTCTACCATTGATTTTTGGATGCAGTAAACACCACAAGGAAAACTATTTGAGAAGAGGAGGCAGCCATTAAGCATAACAGCACTGAGAATAAGAAAAGGAAAAAGTTAAGATATGTAAATAGTATACTGTTTAGTAGGTAAATGTAACTTTTTTTTATTAGCCTTTATTCACAAGCTATACTTCGCCTTTGTAGTCTGAGCAACTGAACAGTACTAAACAGTTTTAACCACTTCTGTTGCCTGAGGTACATACAGTCAAGCACAGGTTTACCGGTGACGGAGTGACAGCTTTTCTTTGTCATTACCTCAGCATAGCACGGAATGCGTGTGCTCCAGTTACACGAGGCAATAGTATGGCATGCAACACACCACTGAGGCATGTGGTGTGACTCAGTGACTCCTGTTCAGTTGTCATGCTTGAATACTGTGCCAGCAAATGAGTACAGTGACAGTAGTAAAATTGTGTTAGTCATATCAGGCTTTTTGCTACAGTTTCATGAGTTTTCTGCACACATCTGGTATATGTGACACATGAAATCTTTCATCACTGTTGGTACATAGCTGTATATTGGGTGGAAAATGACATCTGTGGAATAACAAATAGGGACTTTGCACACCGCCACATGGAAGCAGATACTTCAAGTGAGAAGAATTAATGTCTCCTGTATCTTCTCTATGTTTCAAATAATAGTTGAGTGTATGCAAAACATCATTTTTCATTTCAACGTGAAAAGTTATGTAGTCCATGGGTATAGCAAAGGAGCTATTTTTAGGATAATTGCGTTTTGATACACTTGCTTTAAGTGTAACATATCAGCAAATCAGATCCAAACCTTAATTGCTATTAAGGCTTTCAGATGTTCCTTAACTAAAGCAACCTCTTTTGAGCCATTACAAGGAGAAACTCTGAAATCCATCCTTGATCCTTTGGGGCTTCAAGACAGCATCCCTATAGCCGAGTCCCAACAAGTGACCAATCCTGGAAAGTGCCTTTCTGTAATTAGCACATGTTGGCATAATTAGCAACAGCTTGCTCTCTCATGCCACCCTTCATCTTTAGATTTCAAAGCTATCCACAAACAAGCAGCAGTGAATTAGTCTCACAGCTGCTATGTGAGGTAGAAATAAGCTTCTACCCACGTTGGCCATGTCAGCAAATCTGGACAGCGAGAGAGAGACAGAAATAGCTTTCGTGTGCTTAAGCAACTGCAGAGTTTAGAAATTCAAAGAACTAGAGCTTCCAGAATCAAGTTCTTACTTTCACCTTTATGAAAAACCTCCTGAAGTGTTCCTAGCACCTTTATCATTTCATATTGTTATTTGAAACAGTCACAGGTCTTAATGTACTACTGAAACAGAATTTGTTGACCCCATGCAGTGGATAGCCACCGTTGCCCTCAGTGCCAGTTACTGACTTACAGGATTATGACTTACTGGATATGAACCTGTAGAAGACCCAACTAGGATCTTCTCCAGTCTCTAATATCTGCAAGGAACAAACAGATGTGAGCAAAGTCTAGCGTGAGCAGCTGTCTACCAAGACAACAGCACTAATTAGGTTTCTAATGCCTGCAAGTGTATACACTATGCACAAAAATGCTTATAGAGAAAAACGCTTATTATGGACTATTACTTTGTACAGAATCTGGCTGCCTCAGCCGAGCCAGACAGCACACCCATCCCACATCCAGCCAGGCTCCGAATTTTCCAGCCCTTCTGGAAACCTGGCGTGGGTGTTCAGTGATCTTGGGCTAGGCTTCACATTAGCCTTTGTACCAATGTGCTAAAGTGGAAAGCTTGAAATAATTAGTTGAATGCCCAGTAGTGATGGCACTGAGGAAGTGCTAATGTTTTAAATGCTGGCCACTAAGTTATACACAGCAGGCCAGGTTCTTAACCTCTAGGGCAATCCTAGTTTAGGAACATTTTGGGCCTCAGAAAACAGAAGGATGGTGATGTAGCTGAAAAGCAATTGAACAGCAGGCTTGAAATACTTTAGACCCTCCCCTTCTGCCTGGCTTACACCCCTTTTAAATTCTGTTTTATCATTAATTTGCCCCTCAAAACACCTCCCCCCCATCTTAATAAGCAATACTTCTTAGCTTCAGGAAAGTTTTGTTTTCAGGTTTGAATTCAACTCTCAAAATGAAACTAATGAACCGATAACACTTACAAGGATGAAATCAAGAGAATTGTAATTACTGTAGACCAGGGAAACGATATCTTCCCACCTACTTCTACCACACATAGGACTAGCATTTATTTAGCAAACACAGCAGTGCAGCCAGCCATTATTAACCGTACAGAATCATAGAATCGTTTAGGTTGGAAAAAACCTTTAAGATCATCGAGCTAGTCTTCCCTCTCACAGTTCAGGGAATAAGAACTTCAGCAGTAAGGTAGGTGAATTTGCTATGACAAGATTTGTACCAGAGCTGTTTTGTATCTAGATCAAGAATTGCAGTTATTAAAGTAGATGTAAAGTAGATGTAGAGTGATGTACTGATACTTAAAAAAAAAAAAAAAAAATCATAGTGTGATGATTCTCAACATGCCAGGTATATAAGTATAATTCTATCTCCACAGTTCCAAAAGAGTACCTTGGAAATAAGTTATATCTCTTGTCCATCACAGGTTGACTGTGTAGACCAAGTCTTCATGAATAGCCTTAATCTGGCCTTTGACTTACGAGTGCCAAGATCATATGCATGCTTTCCTGACTTAGAGTATATATGCAAGAACAGAAGCTCTTTCTCCCTCCATAATATTTAGCAATTCTTATGCTCTGACCTGAAGCTTCATTCATGCTGATATCCTAGTTATCTCTGTTCGTTTGGAAACAGCAATTTAAAAAAGTTACAGCTGTGAATCTGCCTTTATTTTTTTCCCCTCTTAAAAATACAAAGCTAACAAAAAATAGACCTTGTCCAAATCAAACCCAATCAAAGAGTGTGTCAAACCAAAAATCCCCAAATCTCTGTATCTGTGATTTAGTTTTAAATTTCTCTGGGTTTTTTTGTTTGGTTGGTTTTTTTTTTTTGGCACCAAGATGCTAGTGCAGCCACATTAATTTATCTAGAAAACAAATATCAAAATGAGAACTAAAGTAAGGTTTTTGATTTACAAGGAAATCTTTATTATATAGCAAGTAGTATTTCTAGATAAGACATTAAATAAGTCAGCAATATAAGCTTATTTAACTATTCCAGCTAGAAATGGATCCACTCTTTTGGTTCTGTCAGCTTTTGTGTCATGCTGTTTTGCTCACAAGGAGTCAGATATGTTAAATGTATCATCTTTTTTTTTTTTTTGGCTTTGGTATTTATAAATGGTGCATTAGACTGTGGGTCTATGGCAGAGGACCCATATTCCCAGGCCGTGTTTTGTTTTGGATAAGTAAAGTGGTGATTGTGTTGCATGATCTCTTTATACTACAACAACAAAAAAAAAGTGAAGTTGTATGTGAGCCTGTGCAGGCTTTAATTTTTACCAGACCATGTATCAATTTATGTATAGATGGTTCAGCATTGGCCAACTACACAGGAACGTGTGGTCACATTTGTACACCCCACCCTGATGTCTAGATTTCCGCTGTTCCTGGACTTAAACTAGCCTGCATATCGACTCTCCCTGAAATCATACTACTTATTTCAACACAAACATAAATCAATCTCCCTGTATGTAAAGTAGGGCAGATTCCTGTCTTGGAGCTTTGAAATTTTCTGCTGTAAAACACTATCCATTATTTAAGTGCCGAGTGACCACGTGCAAAAATGGCAGAAGAATAAATAATCAGGCCATTTGTAGGTAGAATTGCAAAATAATGACAGTTTCTGAACATGCAGGTTATGCAGTGCTTCAAATGGTCCCCTCCCCCATTACTTGAAAGCCCTATGAAATGTCAATAATTCTTGTGCTACATAGGATTGCCAAAATTTCTACTACTTGCCATAGAGCAAGTGAGTGGGAGTGGGCCAAATCAAAATTCCATTGGAGCAGGAGTTCATGTTTGCCTCTCTATTAGCAAATTTCACGCTGCTTCTACAGGAGGAATTCAGTACGCTAGCTTTAGTGTTACAGCCAGCCATTTGGCATTTCCAGCCACATAAGGTAAATCAACTTTTTTGTTCCAGCAGGATTTATCTTAATTTTAAGAATTTAGTAAATTAAAAAAGCACCAGAGAATTTTTAGACACAACTATTAGCTTAACCAGCATTCTTATTTTCAAAGTGACAAGCAGTTTCTTAAACTTAAAAATACCTCAGTGTCACTACTCTGCATTTTTCTCCTAAGGTATTTATTACCAGTGGAATTCAGAAATACTCTGGTACAGCACCTTGTTTTATTATTAGCATATAAGACTTTATACTTCCGCTACCACAACAGAGTAGTTTGATGCTTTAGTGTCTGTAACCATATTTTAATAAGCTGCATAAGTCTTTATGTTACTGTTTCAAGATGCAGGATGAGAAATTGTAAGATAAACCAGAGATTTTTCTTATTCTTCAGATTACATTTAAAGATAACTTGGAGTCTTTTTGCACTCTGATGAATAAGTTGATGGAAATGCTATTGCTTAAATGATTTAGGCTGAACAAGGAAGCAGAACACAGTGAAAAAGGTAAAAATCTAAAGGAAAATCTAACTAAGAAAGTAGTTGGATAGGCAGAACACTAGATCTACTGTTTGCAAGCTAACAACGACGAAAAGGCATACTACCTTGGGCATTGGAAATTCACATGCCCCTGCACAGTAGTAGGCATCAAATGATTTGGGAGATATGATCCATTCATTCCAGCCAATATCAGCAAAGTCAACTTTCATGTATCTTCTTGAACAAATCCTTGGCTCATTCCATTGTTTTCGCCTTGCTTTCTTCATTGTTTTCTCATCGAAATTTAGCACCTGAGACTTTGTGAGTGTTTCTGTATTTTCTTGCCCTTTTCTCCTTCGGTCTTTGCGTGAGGCTTTTGGTTTCAAGGACTTGTAGGCATTCTCCCATATGTCATGTTTGTTGTATTTATTGTTGTTATAATCTACTTCTGGCAACTCATTGTTCTGAATAGAGCTAGAGAGGTACGTATCCCTCCTCACTCGAGTATCAGTAGAAGCATTAGGGGATAGATTTGGGTCCCCATCATTGGAAGGGAATGGGTCATAACGCTGTAGGGTGACTGCCACACTGTTAGGTTCAGAGATCGCAAGGTCATTGGCATAAACTAGTATATAAGGTAAATGACTGGCGACCTGTTCAGGGAAGCCCTGGTGTTTCTCCCCAGAATCAAGCTCAGCGCAGAGAATGAGCTCTCCAGCCCGTTTTGATTCTTTTATGATGTGTGAAATGTCCTTTGCATGCCAAGCCCCGCGCCTTTGAAGAAACACGGTGATGTTCCCTTTCACTAGTCCATAGGCAGAATTCTGGTGAATGCTTTGGAAAATGAGGTTGAGCCGCAGGATCGGGGGCAGGTGAAGGAGGCGGCAGGATGAGTTCTTGGACCGCTTACAAAACACATCCCGGTGCCGAGGGCGTTTGTCAGCATAGAAGTGGAAAGTGGCAGTAAGGATCATCTCTGAATCCTGCATGGATGTCAGATTGAAGCAGTACAAGGGCTTCTGGGCCAAGAATTCTGCAACAGAGCAAGGAAAACATGGATAAATATCTGGGATGAAAAATGGTAGTCAAACCCTTATTCCTATATAAGTGGATTAACAAATTTTGCTTTTCACTTACCCACTTCAAATCAGTTGGTATAGTGAGCTTGTCACTTCATCTTAAAACTATGGTGAATAAGAGGGGGAAAAAACCCTAGCAATATTTAATAGCAATATTACAATAACATCGTGAGTGCCCAACACACTGGGCACCATTTGTATACATGAGGGATAAACCTCTTCCCAGAGATTTTCAGTTTCAGACTGCCTTTCATTCCAGGCAGGCAAGAAAAGCAATCCTTGCTTCTATTTCCTTTATAACAAAGTCAAGCTCAGAGAAGCTATCCAATTTGCCCGTGGCAGAGCTCAGAACGGTACCTTACTCGGTATACTAGCTGAAAACCAGGTTTACAGTTTATGTTCAAGATGGTCTAATCTAAAGCTGACTGCAAAAATTCCTGAAAGATCTCTGGGTGCTAAGCCTGCGGGCAACAGCATATGAAGTTCATCGTCCATAAATAGTGCACAAGAGACATTTCACACGGGGGCTGGAAGTAAGCAGTGTGACACATTTTCTGGGGCTGTTACTCTTACGAGCAATCTTCCTTTCCAGTATACATCATGTAGGAGCTTTGTTTAGAGCACTGTGAAACCTACTTGGTTTCTAGGACTTGTGTTTTGATCTGCTTGAAGTTAGTGACAACTACTGTTGAATATGAACTGATTCTTAAAATTCAAACTCTATTTGACACAGCTTCTTTTGTTCTGTTGACACAGCTAGTTGAACAATTTGTGCTCAGGTTACATCTCTACCCTACTCTCAAAGAAGAGGAGCAATTTCACACTAAGAACTGTTTACACCATGTTTATTTGAACAGTAGAAACCCCTCTTAGTATGTTAAATGTAATCCCAGAATCAAAAGACCATGCATTCACAGTCTATCATTGTGAAAAGTTGCCTTTTTTTTTTTTTTTACTAGCCCAAGAGCATACAGGAAAGTGGTGGCAGAACCAAGAAGTGATTCCTGTTCTCCCAAGCTCAGACTGGTACTTAGAATGCATCAAAGGACTGCAGTGGGTAAGTTTGCATCTTTAGTTAACTCAAGTGGACAAACCCTCTGGCAGCCCTTCTTGACATACCTGGAAATTCTCTGGCAGCAGGGAGAAAAAAAAACAAAAAAGAAACAAAAAACCAACTAACCCAACAGCCAGTTTTCCAGAAACACTTAGGTTTCTTTTTCAATGCACTGTGGATAATGAGCCACAGAAACTTTGTCACCAACAGAAAGGCAGTACTGTTAACTGTCACCTGTCAGAATGTTCTTCCTTTTAAGCACAGTTTCATTTGAAAAATGGAAATTAATAGTGCTACATCTCACTCAATTGGTGCTTGCTGTCTTCCTGTTCATGCTGGATAGAACCATCATTTGGACTAAACCACAGCAGGTTAGGATGTTCATTAATCCCAGGCCCACATGAACATCTGTACTTTCAGACTGTCTAAGTATAGAATGCAGTTTCCATCTACACCATCTGTATTTTTTTCCTGATGCGGTGAAGTGGAACAGCCTGTACTGATGCCCACATAATGGTTTCATAGGTGGCAGAGAGGCTAACAGAGACAGTATTCTGTGATGAGAACCTATTTGTTTCTGTCAGTTCAGGGCAGGATTCCTATCAGTAAACTTTTAATCAACACTAGTCTTATGCACAGGTGCTCATACTATGAAAAAACTTAAGAGTTTAGATTCTATTCAAGTCTTTGAAGCATAGAAATTTCAGAAGGCTGCCAGCCTATTTTTCAGACCAAGGAAGAGAATAACCATAGTACTTCCTTTAGAACAGCAGGCTGTTATTAATGTTTGTTCATTTCAGAAGGCATATTTTTAAGAAAAGAAGTCTATCCGCTGCCTCTCCCCACCTGAGCTGTGTATAGTTGAAATTTTTAATTTTTTTTTTTTTAGTAGTAGAACGCTCTTAGCACCCTCAGTTCTGTAGATATGACTGTGAAACATATACATCACTGGGATAAAGGCGTTTCAAACAGCAGAGTCCCAGGGTTTCAGATGGGAAGGTAACTTGCAATGACAGCTCAGAGAAAGGGAATTTTAATTAATCTAAATTAATTCTGCATTCTAGAGTGAAACAAACCCTTCAAAAGTCAAAATTCTTTGTAGAACAGAATAAGAATCTGTGAATCTGCAGCTACTGAAAAGCCAGAAGCCTGGAAGTACAGGCTGTTTAGGAACTGAGGAGTCTTGAGTTTTGGATAGAGCATAGTCATATTTATCACATTGCATCAGATCACTCAGGCTTTTACCAACCTGTCAAGCAAACATTGTTACATTTTCCCAGGTCTACTCTGAGTTGAATTGTACTAGCTGTGTACATTAAAGCTGTCAATATTTTACTGATTGTATCTACCTCTGATCACTGCAGACAGCTTCAAGTTAGGAATACAGGCAAGATGCCTGGAGGATACACGCAAGAGATTGGTAGAGAAAAAAAAGGCAAGTGGCCAAGGAAAGAAAATGTTAGCCTCTAGTAGGTAATCCACATAGGAGAATGTTGCATTGCAGTAAGAGAAGATTAGCAAAACAGATTTACATGGTATTTCTGATAACACATTTGTGAGAAAGAAATATGCAAAGAACCCCATTTAAAATATTGTAAGCTATGAAATTATGTTAAAGCAAGGCTCTAGAGGCCAGAATTACAGTTCCCTGTAATTTGGTTTTCTTGCACATATGCATTATGATACAGTCTTAATTAAATGGCTGCTATTTTCTACTGTTCAGCAAGGCCTTTGCTTCATTTAGCACAGAGGATGGATGGTGTTCAGCGAATGAGCCTGAGCTGCAAGAATCAATTTATGGGGAAGTTTCATGGCTTAGGCAGCAGATTTCTGCCATGAAAACTAATTCCCCCCATCTCAGCAACCTAGGTAAAGTTGGACAATAACTTAATATTTCACATTTGGTCACAAACCACTTATGACTTGACTGTCTAACTGACTTCAGCCAATTGGTGCTGTTTTCTAAAGCTACAAAGTTCCCTGAAAACTGGAAAGCACCTAAAGAAAAAAAGAACTTGAGAAATTATTTCATAGACTTTCTCTCAGCTCCTTATCAGAGAAGTAATGAACTTCTGTGAACACATGTAGAGGTGAGCTGGGAGGAGGTGATCAGATGTTTGTGAAGCACTCTTCCTGAAGTGGTAAGTACTGCTAGAGGAACATGTGCAAATAGCACATGCCTATATATAGCAAGTGCCTCACATTGAATATGGAGAAATGTTGCATATTCAATAAGCCAGTCAACACCATCAATACCCTGTAAGGGATATGTAGGATTGCAATACAATTGTGTAGTTGAGGAGACCTCAGTAATAAGTATGACAAAGGAGCAAACTAAGTCTGGACCGACATTTTGCACCTCTGGAGCCCTCATCTTGACAACCATAACTAATACTGATGCTCAAGCATCCCCTAATAAACAGCCTTAAGCTGCAGCATAGGAACAGAAAGTTATAGATTTTCTGAAAGGTACATGTTTAAAAAAAAAGTAGGTCCATTGCTTCCTATAATGAAAAGGAAATTATTGTAGGTGTAGCCTGTTTTGCTTATCTCAGTAGGATCAGAATTATTATCCATATTTTATAAAGAATAGACATTCCACATGTCTTGTAAGAAGAACATGCCGATTTCTTATTTCAGAAGAAAACACTAGAATTTCCTGGAGGAGATAAAGAAAAACATACTGCCAGATAAGGTTCTTCTCCACTCCCTCATCTTGTGTCATTCTATGGTTCATTTCAGACTGTTCATCACTAGGTTGATGAATTACAAGGAAATACAATTTATTGTCATAACAAAGGAACATCGCAGAGGAGCTTCTGCTTTCATGCCATGTTACTGGGGAGAGACAGGATCCAGTAGGGAAGATACACAGATGGGACACAGGAGACAGGAGTTTTGGACGTAGGTGTGCTTTATTTCCATTGCATAGAAAGACAAGTTACTTCCAAGCATCTCTGCCTTGGTTTCATGATCTGATAGATGAGCAAAATACTATTGATTTGTAATTGCTCAGTACAGTCTATCTGTGGGTAAGAAGTGCTGCTATTTTAGTGTTTTAAACCAGAATTTAAACCACTGAGGTGCAAGTAACTTGTTTGGCAGATGAATTGAAAAAAGCAAAATATAGCGCAATCCTTGCATTCTTCCCAAATCACTCTTGTGGTCCAGGGCCTTGGGTAGCAGCCAGTATCAGCTGCTCAGTTCACAGAAAAGTAAGAGTGATAGCAGGAGGTCATGGAATAGCCATCCACAGCAGAAGTTCCTTCCTAACCCCTATTAGTTAGCAGCTGCTAGCTAATGATGAAAGCATGACAATTTCTCTCCCAAGGGTCTGCGATTGCTTTACATCCTAACTCCTAGATTTCTACACATTTTCATTAGCCACTTACCCTTCCATGGTATCTCCTCCTTCTTAAATACGATTACTTTTTAATATTACATTTGACATAGGATAGAAATTAAGTTGGGTGCACTAGAGAATATGAGTTATTGTGCGATATGATAGTAACCATTCCCTAAAACACTCCATGCTGCATTGTATTCTATACATGAGACTTAAATGTAGGAGAAATAGATTGAAACTCACAAAAGCAAGTTTTGAATTCATCTATCAGACATGCCTATAAAAAAGAATATTTCCAGCAATGTAACAAAAATTATATTCTAGAAACTGATACAATTCTTATCTTAAGAGCTAAGATATTAGCTATAGTCTGTAAGAGTTAACCAAAGAAGGAAAACATTTTCCAGAAAAGGTATTTTGGGTTTCCCTGTTAAAGGATGACAAATTTAAAGAGTATTAACTACGCAAACCTCCTCTTTATTGGTTTGAAGTAAGACTGGGATAATGAAAGCGACGCAGTATATATGCTCTTCCACCCTCATGATCAAGCCAAGTGAAGCTGGGGAGAGGGAGGTCAGACATCTGTCTTCTCAGGTTTAGGCAGCGCAGTGAATTTAAGATCCCGAGCAGTTTTAGGCGGTCCCGTAGGCGGCACTCTTCCTAACAGAAACTTGTGAGCCTGTGAGAAGAGCCTGAGGAGAGGACCTGCGGCTGGAGCACTCGCTACTAGTTTATGCTCCGAGTACCTCTGAAAGGATCTTTCGACCCGGTGCGACGTGCACCGGGCACAGCGCTTCTCTTGCCGATGGCTTCCATCCGCAGCAACGGAGGCTTTCTGAAGGGAGATACCTTGTTGCAGATACTCCCGGGGGAGGGGAGGGAGCCGGTGGAGCCGGGGAAGGTGGGAAGCCGTCCGCAGAGCGGAGGGGAGACAGCGTGTCCGTGTAGTTAGCAAGGGTCCCCCCGGTATTCCCCCCGCGTGACACCCCCCGCAGTCACCGACAGCCTCGGCGCAAACCCGTCACTTTAACGCGAAAGAGGAGCGAGGGGGCTCTGGCGGTGCCCCCCGCGCCCGGCCCGCCTTACCTGGCCTGGCCTTGAAGCTGCGGACCGTGTTGCCGTCGCCGGGCCGGCTCCCTTCCCGGTTGTACTTCTCGTAGAGCTTAAGCATGTGGACAGCTACCATGTCCTGAGCGATGCTGCCCAGCGCAGGGGGCGGCGAAGAGCCCCCGCGGGGGTC